CTTCCCGATGTCGCGATCTTGAAGGCCTCGTTTATCCTGCGGGGCAGCTCTGCGATGTCTTTTACCAAAACATTCCATTTCGTGCAGCTGCGCGAGATGCCCACGATGTCTGCCTCCTGGAAGGCGTCCGAGCCAATGGAAGATGTTGCAACCTGGCCTGAAAATACGACGAGGGGAATACCATCCATGAGAGCGTCCTGCATCGGAGTAATGACATTTGTTGCGCCAGGACCGGAGGTAACGAGCACAACGCCGGGCTTGCCAGATACACGCGCATATCCCTCTGCCATGTGGCCGGCACCCTGCTCATGACGCGGCAGGACAAAGTCAAAATGCGGGGAGTTGTAAATGGCATCGAACACGGGCAAAATTGCGCCCCCAGGGTACCCGAAGACATGCTTGACGCCGTGTCGCAGCATCATCTCGTGGAAGATCTCCCCACCGCTAAGGCCTACGAAAGAATGGTCCAACAGTTCATTAGGAGGTGGCCCATAATTGTGCGGGGCGAGGGTTGGAGCTGCAGTGCCGGATGGTACCCGCTGAAAGCCGGGAGAAGCTACAGGACGAACTGGGGGGGCAGGGACGGCTCCCAGCGTCGATGAACGCGAGATGCGGCGCAGAGCAGCGATGCGCGAGGGCCGCAGAGATTGCCTGGGTCTCAGCAACATGAAGGGGTGAGTCAAGAAGAAAAAGTCACGCGGGCGAGGTCAGAGGCATGAGAAATTGAATAGAGAATTTGTATAGAAGACATTCGACTAAGTAAATAAAACTGGGGCTAGCGCGGGTATTCACACTCCCCTACAAGACGAGGCATTTGCTGTGCCCGGATTTGGGGCGCTTGTTCGAGAGAAGAGCAGCCCGGGTCGCATACTGGAAAACCTCCTTGACGCCCTCGCCCGACTTGGCGGAACACTCTAGGTAACTGCGCGCACCAATCTTCTGTGCGACTGCCATGCCCTGTCCAAGAGTCAGTCAGTGCAAGGACAGCGGAGGAAGAACGGAGGGTGTACCTCCTCTGGTGTGACCGGTCTCTGGCTCGTCTTCCGCAGCTCCTCAATCACACGCGGGTCCCGGCGCAGGTCCTTCTTGCACCCAACGAGGATGATGGGGAGTCCGGCGCAAAAGTGCATAACCTCGGAGATCCACTGCACCTGTTGTTAGGGACACTCTGTATGGACCGGCATTGGACCCACCTTCTCCTGGACGTTGTCGAGGGAATCCGGGCTGTCGACGGCGAAGCAGATGAGGATAACATGCGAGTCCGGGTACGAGAGCGGGCGCAGACGGTCATAGTCCTCCTGGCCGGCTGTATCCCACAGGGCGAGCTCGACGTGCTTGTTGTCGACCTCGACATCCGCAACGTAGTTCTCGAACACCGTGGGGACGTACACCTAACGAACACTATTATCAGAACCATCTCCCGTCTATGTGGAAAGAGGGGGTACCTCGGGGAATGTGCCCTTGGAAAAGACGATCAAGAGACAGGTCTGGATAAGCGGTAAGAGGCAGTCAATGCATGAAAGCAACTACAGAACGCACCTTGCCACAAGCACCATCTCCCACTATCACCAACTTTCTCCGGATCTCTGACATGATTCAATGGATTTGCTTTGGAGGGTTTGTGTGAGTGGTCTCAGAGGATGGGACAGTCGTTATGGCGTGAGACAAGGAAGAGAGGGTTAGGGTTTGTTACTGTCACACCAATAGGAGCCCAACACTGCCAAGGACACTGCCATGAACAAACGCGACTATTCAGGCTCGGGTCCACGTCCCACTGGGTCCAAACCGGAACTACTCTCCTTCGTCAGCTCGACTGCCCATGGAAACAACTTAATTCAAATCCTATTGCTATCCCCCACCGCTCGTGAAATTTCGCAATGCAGAATGGGTTTCTCTAGCTTTTGTCCCGGTAGGAGTGGCTCGGGGATGTTATTATCGCCGCTGGGTCAGTTCAGTTTTGTCGGCACACCGCCATTATCACAACACTCCGACCCCCTCGGTACGGAACTATATTATTTGAAGCAACCACAAGAATGTCGTGGAAAATTTCGGCGACAAGACTTTTTGGCCCATAGGGGCTCCGCATTTCAATGGGGAACCTCGCGTGGGTTGACATTCAGAGCGCCCCTGCGACTGAAACGTTACTGGAGACGGGGACTTCAATCGTGGGCAAGCCCAAGACGTACGTCGCATCTCGTTTCGCTGGTTCAGTCCCGATCCCAGCGCTCGATTCACCAATAATGACCGCCCCACCGCCGTCATGATGCCTTCAACGCTCGTGGAGACGGGTACCAGGATCCTGGAGCGTCGAGCGCTGGGTCCGGGGCCGCCATTGGCGCGTATGAATGGCTCGATGTGAGGAGATTTTCATTGATTCGGCTCGTTCTAACGTGCATTGCAGGCCGCGATCGGGATTGACATTGGGGTCTATCCGTACCCCCGCCTTCAAGAACGGCATCTTCGGTCTTCGACCTTTCTTCGATTCCCTGTCGACCGATGGTGTTTGACCCGATGGTCCATACTTCGAGTGAGCTTATTGGGGTCTTCGGATTTGTGATAATGACCGACTGCCCCAGTGCTGTCGGTTCGAGCCTTTTCATGTCTCAAGCGAAGCCCTCTTGACTTTTTTCTCCTTTCCTAGGCTACCATACTCGCGATCTATACCTGTTCCGGTCGTTCGAGGAGAAGTGGATCGGAGACAAGTACTCGCATTATCCGTCGTTTCCTCAGGTATATCATTCCCTTCATCTCACCGTGTGTGAGGCAGACTTTGATCATTTGTAGACGTGGTATGTTCCGAATCTACTTCTGTCTACCCTCTGTCTACCCGGGTAGACATACGTCTACCACGACATGTAGACACATGTTGGTCTACCTCCGTCTATCCTTGTCTACCCCCATCTACCCAAGGTAGACAGCCTTCGGCCACCTACCTCGGTCTCTCTTGGTACACTGACTCCGTTCAAATGTACTCGGCTAATTTGGGCTCACCTCCGCATTTCATGCATCTGATATCTCTTCTTTGCTCCAAACTAGTTCTGGCTTGCTCATCCCTTGGTGCTGTTGGTGACAGTCGGTCGAAGAAATCAGATCAAACAATCACTCGATTTCCCTTTTTCAACATTCATCGCAACTCGCTTACAGTTCAATGTGAGCTTCTTGTCGGCTTGAGGTGAAACCCAGTGTTGATGTCATCTGGACTATATCTGTGTTAGTCTCCCTTGGCCTGGGTCTGTCTGCCCCATCTACCCGGTAGACACATGGTAGACTGAGGTTGACTGAGTATGTCTATTCATCATGGACTTAGGTGGCCAGACAGGTTGGTCTACCCTGTGTCTAGGGGGTTGGAACGCAATGAATGAAGAGAGTTGTTTGTCTGTGCGTTTTCTGTTATTCCATTTTATCCAGGTCGTGCTTGATTGTTTTCTTTGTACAGGGAATCTAGGTGATACTTTTCTACCCCGTACAGTGGCTTATATAAAATGTTGCACCACCGGTGAATGCGGCTACCTTGACCAAGTTTTGGCTCAGAAAGTCTGCTGTTCTCTCATCACGAATGGATGAAGCTGTTCTTCCAAGTAGGCCACTCCTCCTCCTTTGAATTCCATCCAACCAACCGCGCTGTAGTCGGGCAACTCAACGACCATCTCAGGCGTGCAAGAATACCTCCCTATCCGATCGCTCGACTGTTAGACCCCTGACTGTAAAATCAAATTTGCCGACATAGACCTCGTAAAAAAAAGTCCATGCCGGTAGGACGATGTGTCAGGTCGCCACTTTACATTCGGCGAGGCACTCCTGGCTACTCAACGGTGGAATAAGAAACCGCAATCCCGTGCCCCTGTCTAGATTTCACTATATAAAGCACTACCCCCGCCACCCCTAGTAAAATGTTTGACCATCCCAGAACTTCTCGCGATGCGGCCGCAGAACCGGTCTTCGAGGAGGCGCGCCTCGTCAACTCGATGTTGGCCCATTACGCCGACTACATTACATCGGGTCCGACCCTCTCCACCTCCCTCGCGCAGGCCATGGTTTCCCCCTCGTTCTACGCTCTCGCTCAGGCGCTCGAAGATGCAGCCGGCCCCAAAGCATTCATCACAGAATTCCGCCGTCAATGGCGGCGTTTTCACGGTTTTCCCGACGCTTCCATCGCACAAGGCCGAGGCTCCTTGATGAAAGTAATGAGTTTCTCCACGTTCGGAGAGGCGGTCGTCTTTTTCGTTGGCAAGCTCGACGTGGACGACAAAGCGTTGGAAGCGCTCGTAGAGTTTTGGAGGCGAGAATATGGCAATATTGTGAAGGAACATAGCGCGCTCGCTAATACCTTCTCTCTCTTACTGTCCGACTGACTCTGTCCAGGCGACAATATCTCTAACTTGCGAAGCGATGCACCACTTGGCCCTTTTTTAACCTATTGTGTGTCGTTTGTTTCTTTCTACAGAGCTAACACCTTTCGGTAGTGAAGCAACCAGCACAGCACGACCTTCCACGCGAGGCGCAACAAGTCGCCGGGGCCCTTGACGTAGAGGTGGCCGTCGGGGTGCGCGGCGTGGAAGACGGGGGAGACGACGGAGGCGGAGGGGCGGGCTGGGTAGGGCGCGGGGTGGGAGAGGAGGAACCACGACCGTCCGCTCGCCCCGACACTTGCCCCCAACCATGCCCGTGGCGGAGGATACGGTTTTCTAATGTCTATCTCCTCCAAATCGGCTTTCGGTATACGAAACTCGACGAATATTTAAGCGCAGCGCAGCCATCCTTCATGTTATCCCTGTCCCCGCGGGTCTCAATATCGGACATCCCCATCTTTATTACCTCTTTTCCGTCTGTTTCTGTTGTTCACCGAAGTACGGGTAGGGGGTGATTTCTCCCTGTTGAATTCTGGGACATGATTAAGATACAGAGTGGGAAATTATTGAGTGATGGCGATGTTGTGGTATTACGAGGTCGTGAACAGGGCGAGATGTTTGGATGTTTTTGAAAAAAGCAAAGCAAAAGAATGGCATCACCGTGGATTGAACACGGGACCTCCAGATGACGAAAGAAGTGACACACTTCAGTCTGTTGCTCTCCCAGCTGAGCTATGACGCCATATCAATGCATTTGCAGTAATAATCCAGCTCTTCAGGCTCCGATACTGGGAGGCAACCTAAAAAGGAACAAGTTAGCAGACGCTTACACTCCGAATCAACGGATTCATTGAACATTTAATGAGCATCGAAAGCGGATGAACCTTATATTCCCTACGAAAAACCTGCAGGCGTCAGCTCGAACTAAATCACTGAGTGAAAAGCGCAAGGACGAACCGGAGAAGAGGACGAGCACATCATACGCCACAATGGACGCCCCGAGGATGAGACGACGTAGGAGGGCCCAGAGCATGTCGTTTGGGCCGTGTTAATGTCATGGCTAGAAGATTAACAGGTCAGATGCGTGAGGGGAGGGAATGGGTACATGATATCGCAATCTGGGAAGGAAGGCGTGAGTCATGGGACAATAAGGACGGGGACGTGGGACGTACAGGTGCCGGCGGGGAGCGAGGTCGTGAACGTCTCGGTCCAGGTCGTCGCGTCGTTGTTGATCACCAAGAAACCGATGGAGCCGCGTCCGAAAGCTGCGTTGAATCCATTCAGCATTCAGCCACGGAGTACGGCGATAGAACACATACCGACGTGCTGCTCCGTCCCGACGAACACGTTCGTCAGGGCCGCAGATCCGACGGAGAACCATGTTCGAGATGGCGATCCACTCATGCTCGCCTGCAATGCTCATATTCAGCGAAAGAGCGGACACCGAAGACAGACATACAGCGTCACCCGTTCGAATAGCACGTCACCGGGCTGGTATTTCCATCGGCGTCCTGAGGTGCGCTCTGGTCTGGCTATACATGCTGTAGTCGTACCCAGCGTAGACCGTGGGCATGCCGTAGTTGAAGCCGAGCAGGAAGATGGCACCGAGCACGTACGCGTTGTTTGGGGAGAGGTAGTTGAGAGAATCGGAGGGGGAGGAGCTGCGTTCCTAGCGGCCCGTTAATGCACTCGATAGGGTGGTGACGGAAAGAGACGCACTGTGTCTTGGTTCGCTATGATGAAGTTATGACGTTCGAAGGGATGAGGTCCCACGCGGTGTTCATCGCTTTGAGGGTCCGAGACGAGTCAGCGTATGGAAAGAACGCGGAAGGAAGGTGACTTACGGACGGGTGTCACCGATACTTGGGGGCACGCTCAGCACTAAATGAAGATCGACTGTACCGTGCGATACGGGGACCCTTTTAGGGCCGAATATATCGCGGAGAGATTGGCGGGTTCCATGTATACTGCGGCGTCGACACGAAATCCAGAGATGCCCTGCGAGGTGATTAGTGTCGGGCCATTGATTCCGGAGGAAGGGCGCTGACGAGAGACACGAGGTCTTCGAGGTAGGCCGTGAGGGCGTCCTGGACGGCTGGCTGCTCTTGCGCCAGATCGGCAAGCCCGTCGAGCTACGTGGGGGTCAATAAAGGTTGTGTGGCAGAGCAAGGTGGGAACCAACCTCGCAGAAGTGGACGCTGGGAAAGTAGGCATTCGTGAGTGGTGAACTTGGACAGTTTATGGTGCGTACTCGGTGACATTGTTCAGATCAGTAACTTCGGCAGCCTCGCCGTTGCCGGAGCAATAGCGGAAATTGGATGAACTGTACGGGACAGCCGGGCTAATATCAGTTAGCCAGAGTAGAAAGAAAGGAGGGAGACGCGACGCACTAGCTGTACTTCGTGTAGCTGCTTCCAGCGAAACCCACTCCAGACCCCTAGCGCACAAGTTCAGGTTTTTAAAATATTTGGATACAAGTGAATGCCTACGATGTCATATGGTTCATTACAACTTGAAGAGGTTAGTATAAGGCTCGAAAAGAGAAATGAAGCGCACCATCTTGGATTATTCAATACAACGCCCGCAGCTGCACATGTCGAGACCATATTGGCATACTTACTGCGCACGGTTCCCCCGTTTCGACGTGAGGATGTAGTACGACACTGTAGTCTGTCCACCACTCGTCGCCCGTAACTGGAGAACATTATATAGTCGATTGCGGTTAACTGTATGAAGATCCGCTTACTGTGTTCCATTGCGGGGCTAACTTGCGCGCATCCATACCCAAACGGTCCAATCCAAGGAAATTGGTGCATTCGGTCGCTACACTCTCCCATGGCCATTCGAACAGTTGAGAACTGAAGAGGAGAGAGGATCGGAGGCGCAGGGATAATATAACCTTGACAATGACATCGTGCGCCTTGGGCGGAGAGCGCCGAATGACCGTGTTAGCAGCAACGTACGAAAGTAGGGGGAGGGCGAGCAAGCGCGTTTGCGAGGAATGCGCGACCACGATTGGGTAAAAGAGACGAGAGTTCCGACGGGAGTGGGCCCCGAGATCTCATATAAGATATATCATAGAGTTAGGTCAAGTGTCGACCTTTGGACGCGATCCGTCATGTTGTTGAGCGTGACGCCGTGACCCGACGCGTCGGGTTTGCCGATCTCAAGAACACTGTCTTCACGGTCCTCATCACGACCTCAAGAGTTTTTACTGGCTCCTCGTCTGGATGATCCTTCGACACACCGCACACGACCATCCCGATGGTTCGATGGCCTGCAGCTACCTTTTTGACCCGTCTGCACGAGACGAAGCAAGGTTGGCCCGCTGACCTGCTGCGCAAATCAGCAACTTCGTTCTTGGCAATTGTGGACCGACTTGGTCTCCCAGAGGCGGACGTCGATAGGTCAAATCTTCGCAACCTAAGGATACCTATCTGACCAAGGAATATCCTGAGGCAAGGGAACTGGTCGACGTCTGCCTCCGGGAGACTAGAACAACTGCGCAGGGACCTCCTCGCGTTTCGACACAGACGATGAAGAGGCGGCCGGTCAGCCAGAGGTCCACTATCTTACCCACCAAGGTCCTGCAGCATTTCAAGAAGAGGATCAAGTCCGACAAATAGCAATGGCCGAAAACGGACGACCCCGCCCTCGATTTCGTCCTACCCAAGCGCGTAAACCGGGCTGAAAACCTCCTCAAGAACACGTTTGAGCGACAAACACTGGCGACGGACTCCGCCACCAAACGTCGTCGTGAAGAGGATTCTCTTACGATTGCGTCCGCCAGCCAGCCCGAGGGTACGACCGCTGCTTCCAGCGGCATCCGCGAGAAGCCCAAGGTGGCAGGCGGATGGGATGAAGTTGAACCGACAAACTACTAGCTGAGGGCGAGTGGAAGTCAGAGGCGACGAACCAACAACCTGTAGAACGCGATGGATAGTCTTGTATTCACATCTACCTTGCCACTTTGTTTCTGTGCCGAGAGAATACGAGAGAAAAATTCTCTGCATGGCGAAAATCGGAAAATCGAGTTTTGGAATTTGAATTCCACGGCCCGTGCGTGGCCGCGGCGTTTGTTTTCTTGAATGTCCTTGTATTGTTCAGCCAGCTCCACAACACCGCTCTGCTCGTAACGGAATGTCAGCGACCCCCGTAGGCGGGCAGCCTTCGGGCCCGGTTGCAAAGGAGATGCATGACGAAGAGCTTGCCCTGCCGCAGCTTTCTCGGTCGACTTTCTGGGAACACTTGAAGACAGAGGTGGATCCGGCCCAATGCACCGGCCCATTGGCTGGCTTCTGCTTCATGACGGGGTTCATGTGGGTTGAAGCAACCATTCGTAGGGCGAGATTGCTAATACAGCAATCGCAGAGATGCGATATCATTTACTGCCGGTAGGTAATAGGCAGTATTTCAACCGTAGCGGTCTCATTGAGGAGCACAGTCTTCGTGTGGTGCGGGTTTCAGACCGGAAATTTTGCGCAGGTGAGCTTCTTCCCTTGTGGGACTCGGATGTCGTAGACCGCGTTCGGGCATCGCGTCACGGTCCAGTCGCAGCATTCTCCGGCTCTCTGTCCATTACTTGCCCAAGCGCAATGCCGGTGTGTATGGTCAGAAGGACGGATCGCCACTCAGTCAGCGTTCTAACTTTCAAACAACTCGCGCGGCGCTCTAACGCCTATTCTAAATTCTCTTCTCTTACTTTTGACGTCGTAGCTCGCTCTCGCCATCGCGCGCCTCTGGGAAATTGCACCCTCTGGCTCCGGGCACGATACCAGCTTCCATATCGCCGACAAGCAGGCCCTAACATCCCTCCTCTCCTTCAATGCTGGCGCATTCTTCGGCCGCTGGGGCGACCGCGTCGGTCCTCATAAGCGGGTCTGGCTCATTTTCGCCACGTCGATCCAGGTTTTGCTTACCATGGCTGCGGCTCTGACGGTGTGGAAGAGTGGACAGGGGAGTATCGCCGCGATACGTGGAGATCCCAGCTGGACCAATGCCCTCACTTTTGTCGCTCTCGCGTTCATGAGTGCAAGCCTCGGGGTACAGGGCATCGTCGGAAAGCGTCTGAACACGCAGTTTACTACCACCAGTGCGAATCTTTGGATCCTCTAAGCTATAGTCGCTGATACGACCCGCAGTCGTGCTGACGACGGTGTGGGTCGAGTTAATGACAGACCCTGGCCTGTTCAATCTGAAGCACAAAGTCAAGACAAGAGACCACAAACTCATTGCCGCCGTAGCGCTCTTCTTTGGCGCGTTCGTTGCCCGCGCCCTGCTTGCTCAGATTGGGGCTGCCGGCGCATTAGGCATTGGCGCGGGTGTACGCGTGCTGATCACCTTGGCGTGGATATTCGTTCCCGGGAAACCAGTCAGTCGGTGAAGTACCGCATAGACATCTATCACTGTCGCAAGTACCTTAGACGTAATTGTTCCATGCACATTAAATTCAATGCCTTCTTACACAGGGTGCTCTTCTCCATGATGAGAATACGGTGGGAGAAAATCGGTGTGCCACGATGTTGCATTGTTCCTACTCCGTGACGGTAAGGAGTCGCGGATCCCCGGTATTGTCAATGCCGGGCCTTGGAGGAATGCGTCGACGGCGCCAGAGATTGGGTGGTAGGCTCTCGCTCTGAGGGTTGTCCGCTACGCGAAGCTCTTGGCCTCTTCTGCGCCTCTAGAAAAGAAATGCGACAATAAAAACGAGACAGACAGGTCACGCCGAGTAAGTTCCTCAAG